ACTAGTTGAATGAGGCCCTCTGTACAGCCAAGGAAGCTGAGACTCAGCAAGGTTGTATAATATAGGAGAAATTAGGGGTTGCAGCACTGGTGGTGGGTAACGTGCTACTGGCAGCAGAGCCAGGGAAACTTCCTGAATCCTGCCTGGCTGGATTTGGTCCCTCGCCCACATAAAAAATAAGCAAATGATATAAAAAGAAAAATAAATTTAATTCAGTTTGGCCCAAACTAGAGGAATACAGCCAATCTCCAATAGTCCTATAGAAGTGGTTACAATTCACAGAATGAAAGCCAGGAGATGTAGATTTAACCAGGCTGTGCTGCCAGGACATGTCACAATTCCTGTCCTCAGCCCTGGCTGGCACCACCTGAGCTTTGAGAGCAGTTTCTCAGCTTCCATTGAGATGGAGAAAATAGAAAATGGTGGGGGTGTGCATTTTAGGGCTTTTAATTTCCAAGGGGCTCTGTTACAGAGGTTACTTWGGGTGTCTTTCTGCTCCATAACTTCTGACAGGATGCACCTCACTTTAGCAGCACACAGGCCTGAGTAGTTCAATGCAAAAGCAGGGCAGAATTACCAAGGCTGTGAGCTCCAACCCTCATCCTCCTAGCCGGACAGTGCAATGTTGACGGTAAGACCCACCAAGAACCACCTGCAACTCTGCCTGCTGCAGAGACTGGGCCATGCTAGATTCTCCGGGCAAGGGGGATGGGTGGGAAGAGCCTAGGCAAGGGGAGACATGCCGAGCAGAGACTCAGTGGTTCAGGAAGCGGCAGGGGCAGGGGCAGGGGTAGGGAGGTTTGTGTGCGCAGGAGCTGTACCAAATCCAGCTGCAGAGGCGAGGAACAAGAGAGAGCCTGGGCAGTAGAACAGAACGGCACATGTGCCCGGGTCTGCAGGGTCACTGGAGTGTGTGCATGCATGGATGTGAATGTGGGGGCCAGGGGGTCACAGGGGGCAAGAGGCTGGGAGCCAGAGATAAGCATGAAATGTGGACACCGCACGCACTGGACCCAYAGGACAGGGGTTCAAGGCCCAGCTCTGTCGTTCGTTGGAAAGGAGACCCCAGAAAGTCAAGAGCAAGCAGATTATGGCTGAGGCCTGTCCCCTGTGGATAATTCCTCCCCCTGTCCTTTTCTTCATGTACGGGTTTTGCCCCACCTTCAGCTCAAGACTCTAGAAAGACTTGTCCTTGGTCGGCAAGTGACACATATCTCTGTTTTATTTTCAGTTGTTTCATTCCATGAACCCAGACAGTCCCTATCCTTGTAAAAAAAAAAATAATAACTAATAGTAGTAATAACAATAGAGGAATGTGACCCATTCTCAGGGGGGTTTTAGGCACGAATCATTCCCAGTTTCAAGCCTGCCTCCTTCTTGCGCTGTTCACACGCTGGCCTTGGTGACGCTATCTGGCGTGRTGCCTCCAGAGGGCTCCACAGGGCAGGGCCCCAGGGACCTCTGGCTGTGCTGACGTGGGGGAAGCTATCTTCTACCCACAGAAGGAGAACCCCAGGTGGATCTGCCCATCAGRAAGAGTGAATCACTGCTCAGCACCTGGCTCTCTCTACCTCAAGGACTGGTGACATAGGTGACATGTGCCACTCCAGGACCCTTCCATTTGGTGCTGGAAAGTGCAGGCCCACCTTCTGCAGCTACACTGGCCTGTCCACAGTGCACTCCGCTCCCAGTCTGCAGCCTGATTTTTGTCCTTGATGTTCTCATTTTTTTCTTCATCTTTATATTAAATTTCGTCTTTCTGAATTACACGCATCCATGCTCCTTAAATGCCTCTAGAAACCAAGAGGTTTAAGATTGAACTCAAATATCATGCACAACCAAAGGTTTTGTCATAGACCAGGAGCCAGCCAATGACCCATCAGCTGAATCCTGCCTGCCGCCCATTTTTGGATGGCCCAAAGAAAGCTTTTTAGGTTTATCAGTGGTTTGGGTGGGTGGGGAAGGCCTGTGATATGGGAGAATTACATGGTGTTCAATATGAGTGTCACATGAGAACACAGCAATATCCACCCATTCACCTGTGGTCRATGGCTGCCTCCCCCTGCTACAGCAGGAGGGTCAGCAGCTCTGACGCAGCTAGGTGTGGCCCTCGAGCCTGAAATTTTCACCATCCAGCGATTTACAGGTAAAGTTGGCAGATCCCTGGATCAGACTTCATTCTGCATTTCTCCTGCCAACGCGACACCATAGAATTGCTGCCAAGTTAAGTTTTTGCTGCATCCTCACTCAGTCTAGATATTTTTTGTGCATTGGTAAAACTACCCCTCAGTATAGTCAACCTTGACTCGGGTGTGCGTTATGGTCTGGCTTGGAGTTCAATGCCATGTCAGACCCTCTTAGCAGTGACTAACAGACCCTCGTGGATGACTAACCTATMGTTTATAGTCACTAATAAAACAAATTTTAAAACTCCTATTTTTGCTGAGAAGGCTGAGCCAGCAAAAGGAGCTACTTTACAGTGCTCTCAGACTTGTTTCCCCCGGTTTCTTTCCGATCGACACGTGTGTTTGCACATTTGCTGATCTGTTCCCTTTTCTGKTCAACCTTAGATAGAAATAAACCAAGTCTCCATGGAAACACAACATAATGCTCTCACAGATGATCGAGGCCCCGGCAGCTGGTACAGGCTGAAGGCTGCAATGGCATTTGACCAAATTAGGAAGAGAAGCAGTTCCCTGGCTTCTCCAGACCCTGAATCCTAAAGCTCAGCTTGGAAACCCATGCAGTGTGGATTAAGGTGACTACTTTCTTTTTTTCTGGGCATTTCTTTTCTTTTTTTTTTTTTCTTTTATCAATGTATGTTTCAGGTAAGGGGCTTTCATCTCCCCCAACGCTTATACAGACACTACCGAGTAAATGGAGAGAACCTGCGCTTAGCAAGCACCCATTGTGTTTGGACATTTATGAGTCACGTCTGGAGCAATGTGACAGTCCTAAAACTGGCAGGGCTGGAACTTGAACTCTGGTCTGCTTAACTCCAAAGTGATTCTCTTTCCACAGCAGGTGAAATAATATCCTTTAAATATTAAGGACACCGAAAAGCCAAGAGGTCTTGTAACATAGCTTATCCCTTTTTCCTGGGGGTAAAATCAGAATAGAGTAGAATACATAGGTCTGCTCATCCAGGAGCCTCCGTGAGCAGGCCTGGCCTCCCCAGGCATCAGGAAGAATTTTCCCAGACCTGTGCTCTCCAACTGATGGGGAGTGCTGGGCACAGTGGTCTAGGGAGCAGGTTGAAGGCTGACCCCCCCCCCTTTAGCAGGTGGACCCTAGGCTTCACCTTCCACAGAGGCTACYTTGCTTTCTCTTGTTTTAAGACATAGTCCTCTGCTTCATAATCTTTCAGAAAGCACCGTCCTGGAGGACATTTATGTCTGAACACAGCACAAGATATGGCAGCAATATAAGAACCAGGATTTCTGAAGGGAGTATGTGCCCCTGTAGGTTCACGTGGAGCTCATGCTAACACTCCCTCCCGTGATGAAGACATGGAGAAAGATTGGTTCTTAAAGGAACAGCCCAAATCCTCCCCTTCTCCGAATCTCCAGTCACACTATACCATCACTAGGACCACGGAGGGCCATGACAGAGGGAGAGGAGGGCAGCCCCCTGCATCCCACCAAGCCTGAATCCCTGGAGAGGTGGCGAGACTCTCCTAGGCTCCCCTCTGAGGCAYGATGGGATGGCTGTCCTTCACTCCCTGTGAACTCAGGAGTTCACTCCTCTTCTGCGCAAGCCATTTGTTACATAAAGAGTCTATGTAAAACACTTTGCTCTCCAGAGAGGAGCCATATCATTGCAAATTGCTTTATTAATAAAATTAGCCATCAAATTAGAGCAGTAGCTACTGTACTGAAATAGACCTTAAGATTATGAGAAGATCAAGTCACTGGGGACATTTTGTACGCCAGAAATAATCTCACTCTGAGAAACAGAAGGTTTGACTTCAGCTAGGGCGGCCATTCTTTACAAATACTAACTGCTTTTTCTGATTCCAGGACCCTGTCCTTCTCAATGGCTTTTACTCAACTGCCAGGGTGTTTAAATCCCTGGGTGTTGGCTGGGCACAGTAGCACACACCAGTGACTCGGGAGGCTGAGGCAGRAGGATCACGAGTTCAAAGCCAGCCTCAGCAATTTTGAGTAGCCCTAAGCAACTTAGGGAGAGCCYATCTCAAAATAAAATATAGAAAGGGCTGGGGACATGGCTCAGTGGTTAAGCACTTCTGGGTTTAATCCCTGGTAYTTCCCTCACCCACAAAAATAAATAAATAAGAATAAATAAAGCCCTGGACATCAGTCAAGGAAGCCCTTGCTGCTGGGTGACTTAGCTAAACACAGCATAGCTTACAGAATATTTAGACATTAATTGCTCTGAAAAAGAATGATATTTTGCATCTCAGTGCAATTTACAAAGACTGTTCATCCAACCCCATACCAGGAAAATACATCTTCCTTTCATTAATCTTTCATAGAATAAATAATGGTATTGGGATTCTAGCACACAACCAGTAATTTTTCTTGGGCTACATTGATAAAAAGTGCTGTCATTTCAAGAAGAACTCAAACTACTTTATTAGCCATTGGCACACACCACATGATTCAGGGTTAGAAGAAAATAACAGATTTTAAGCTCAGGCTACTGTAAAAAAACAATTCTGCTCAACTTATAAATTGCCTAAGGAAGAACAGAGTCCCTATTCATCATTTTGACCTGCTAAGTCACCCACCTGCTCAGCCAACCATATTCTACTAGCAGAACGTGGTTGACCTTCCACAGGTGAGCTCAACTGTCTCTGTGAGCAAAGAGGATAAGTCAAAACTCAAAAAAATAAGGCATGCCAAGAAGAGGGCTCCTACTTTTATTTTTCTTTTCTCTATATCGTTTTGTTTTGCTATTTMAAATCTTATTTCTTTAATAGCAATGACCTTTGACTTCAGTGYCATGCCCTAATTGGGTAATATYRCAATTGACAGTACCTGTACACCATGCCTGTCTGMGCCTTGGTGGTTTCCTGTAGCGAAATTCCATGGACGCGTAAAAACTTCTCCAGATATTTCCGTTCTGCAGCTCCACTGGGCCGAACAGGCCAGCAGACTGCTTGGGGCTGAGTCTTGGTCACTGTTAGATGTCGTCTGCATTTGAGAGCAGATTCACTGGATTTAGGCAGMCCCAGCTTGGGGCTGGGGATGTCCGCACAGGCAGGTTTGTACAGATGCATGTCTCCAAACTGGAAGAGGCAAGCTGACCGCACAGCGCTCCTCCTTGGGGCTGGCCGTGATCAGCTCGGGTTTTCTGGCTTTGGGGTGTCCCTAAAAGGGATCCGCTTGTTTTCTTTAGRTTTTCCTTACTGTTTTCTTGCACACAAGCAGGTTCCTAAGTCCCCAGGAGAGCTGTGGGTTACATGTCTCTGCCAAGACCTGGACAAAAAGTGACCAAGTCCAGTCACTATTCYTGTGCCTTATTTAAAGTTCTCAGAGTTAAACGTAAGCAAGTATGTATCGGCCCCGGGGAAAAATATGGGCACTCTTTCCCATGTCTTTCTATTTAGGTAAAGGGAAATATTTTGGTAGGAAGTGGGCCAACGCTTTGGTTTTCATCAGGACCAAAAGGCCTTGGGGATGATTCATACATGGGCAATGAGACCTCTTGAAATCAGCACATTTTTATAACCAAATTGTCTTTTATACTAGCAGCATGATCATTTGGCTAAAACGTCCACTACCCTTTTTTTTTTTTTCCCCCAGATGTTGCTGTCAACGATAGGAAAAATCAATAAGGTGGATGTAGGAAGTCAAAGGCCCACACCAACASAGCCGGCAGACTTGAAAAGAGGGTAAGAGCAGATGGGTGAGGAAGGAGAGCTGGCCCACCAGAGCGCCCGGGGCTCATGGACATTCATAGGCAGGACAAACACGGAAGCAGATAAAATCAATGAACCTGGCCTACACCTGGTACTTATACAAAATTAACTCAAATGGATCATGAACCAGAAAKCAAAATGTAAAACTCTAAAACTTCCAGCTAAAAATAGGAGAAAACCTTTAGGACCTCAAGCTAGGTGAAGAGTTCTTAGACTTGGCCCCAAAAGCACAGGCCACATAAGGGAAAATAAAAAATTGAATCTCATCAACATGAAACACTTTTACTCTATCAAAGATCTTGTGGAGAGTATTTAAATATATATATATGAAAGAAAGAAAAAATAGGCTGGAAGAAAATATTTGCAAAGTAACATGTTCATTGCTTAAGTTATGGAGTCTATGGTGATTTATTAGGAGAGCCTAAACCAGGACATTGATAAGGAAAAACTACATCACTAACATCATGAACTGAAAACCTTATTTAAAATATAATATAATGAAATCTGTAAAAGATATAACAAAAATGCAGCAAACGTGCCCACTGCAGGTACCCACTGTGGGTGTCAAGAGGGGCAAAAGAGAATCCTGCTTCTATTAAAGAGATTAAGAGGTGTTTGAGAGGTATATTTGAGATATTTTAGCACAAATCTGAGACTTTCTCCTTTTTTTTTTTTTTAGGTAATCAGAAAAACTGAAAAAAATCTGAAATGACAATATGCTATGGTGTGAATCAAAGTTATTCAGTGCCCCATCTGTGCCCTGACTACATTCACGTCCTTGCCACTGCTGTCTGACAGTGTCAACGGCTCTCCCTGCAAGGACACAGCTTAATGCCCCAGCTGTAATATAGGACCTTCCAGGGGAGGCCTACGTAGGAGATGAGCTTGCGACTTCCGGAATAATCAGCACACTGTGTGCCCAAGCAGCGCCTCACAGATGTCCTCCATGTGCTTGCTCCAGGGTTAGGCTCACGTCACCTGCTGCTCCTCTAGTCAGCCTGTTTCCAGCTTCCCCAGTAGCCACAGTCCTGCACCTCAAGGAAGAAATACGTGCTTGGAAGGAAAAACCCTGATAATCCAGAGAAAGCACCATGTGAAGGCTGGGGGAGAAGAGGAACTTGAAGTACCTGCAGGTCTGTCCCTTACAGTGACAGAAGTTGGATCTGACTGCAGGAGCTGGGAACGTCACCTGCAGGGCTGAGAACACTGGGACGGGACAGTGGAGCTCCCTGCCAGGAAGACCAGAGGAGGCCGGGGGAGTAGCCCCTGCAATGTCAGATACAGCCCTCTCCCTCACGTCCCTCTTTCTCTACCCCCTGGAACATGGAGTCCCAGAGAGATGAGGAGCTGAGAGAGCCAACACTGACCTAAAACCAGAATTTCTTTTCGAAAAGTTCAAAAAGTTGGCCAATGTCAAGGAAGAAATCATATTTCCTACGGGAATGATTAATCCCTTTGGTGGTCAATACCAATTGCTGTCAGATTTAAATGAGATGTGGTAAGCTACGGGAGATACCTCTGAGCAGCCGAGGGGCCAGAGGAGGTCTTTCTTGCTTGTCCTTCTGTGTCTTGGGAAGGATGAAGACCATATTCTCTTCAGAATCTTTAGGTGTCACACAGGGCCAGCAGAGTGATGGGGCATACTGTGCTTAGGATCTAAAATGTCCCCCAAAGTCATGTTGTAAGTATCTCGGTCACTAGCTGATGGTGCTGTTGGAGCTGCAGAAACACCAGGAGGCAGGGCCCAGTTGGAGGAGAAGGTCATTGAAGGCCCTTCCTCCCTCTGCTTCCTGGCTATGATGTGAGCAGCTTTCCTCCACCATGCCCTTCCGCCATGATGTTTCAGGCCCAGAGCAATGGAGCCAGCTACACACACACATATCTGTCTGTCTATCTMTCTCTCTCCCTCTCCCTCTCCCTCTCCCTGTTTCCCATGAGCTGAGCAGCTTTCCTCTACCACATATTCTTCACTTCACTGTGATCATGGGCCCAGAAGCAATGGAACCATGGACTGAAACCTCTGAAACTGTGAGCCAAAATTAACATCTCCCTAAGTTGATTTTCTCAGGTGTTTTGTCACAGCAACAGAAAGCTGTCTAGCCCAGCACACAGGAGGCCCTGGGACTCAGAAGAAGTCACAAGTAGAAGGTCACACAGCTCTGGGTGGTGGGAAGGCTTGATCCACACTTGCTCAGCCTTCATTAAGAGTTTTGTGACCTTAAACAGGTCTCTTCCCTGAGTTTAGGTCATCTCTAAGAGTCTCCCAGGTCTAATGTTCTGTGAGTCTTAAAAATTCCTTGGGCTAGACATGCAATAAAAGAGAGGCCCTTCCCATGTTGACTGGCAAACTTGGATTCCATGAATTATTAGCTAGTTCTCTAAAATACCGGCCCTACGAGATTGCTATTATTCTTAGAATAGACCAAACACATGTGTAACCAAGTTTTAAATTTTCCTTGGCTAGAAGGCTGACTTGTGGAACACTGCATCCTGGATTTATGGACATGTTCCAGTCATCTAAACATGATGTCTGTCTGGAATGAAAACTGAAGGCGGAGCTGGTGGGGCTGGTAGGATGGGATTGCGCCCTGCGGCTGGGCAGAGGAGTGCTAGGACTTCCCTGGTGACTTAGACAAGGGGCACCAGACCAGCTTGCAGAGCACATTTTCCTGTTATATAACTTACAAGAAATCGTCTTCCCGCTCTTGTTCTCTGGTCTGCTTGCTGGAACTTCATGGTGGATATTGGGACATCTGCCTCCATCCCACCAGCACCTCCCAGGATTGCTGCCCTCATCACTGCCACCTTTTCTTTACCTTCCAGAGGTATGCTGGGGTCCAGTAGCATGCAGTGAGACCCGGGTTAAATACATGCGTATCATGTCAACAGGATGCAATGAATAAAGCATTGGCTTTGCCCTTGAGGGGCTCTTGGCGGAGGAGACAGACCTGTGAAGACCCAGAGCTGCAGAGGAGCCAGGCTGAGGTGGGCAGTGAGACTCACAGTCATAAACCCAGCCTGTGATGCAGCCCGAACGTGGGACAACCCCCAGAGCAACATCAGTAGCAGGGGCAGGGGACGGAGGGGCTCCTGCAGAGGTCGCAGTCAAGCTTGGCATCTGTTCTGGTACTGCTCTGTCTGTCCTTCAACCCCTTTTCTAGATAAGCCCTCTTGCCTCTCTCTCGACCAGATTTTTTTCTAGGAATTACAATGAAAGGGTCCTGGTGGATGTGGGGTGGACATGCAGTGTGTGGCTAAGAGCCCCAGGGAGGCCGGCGGGGCTCCTCCCTGGCTCCTGAGGGCAGCATCCTCACTCTCCCACTGCACCTTCCCCACGGCCTTCAACTCACATGCTCTGGCAGGACAGGAGACTGTCCCCACGCTCGGTGCACATGTCTAACAGGTGCATGTGTCTAACAGGTGCACAGAATACACCTACAGGCTGCTTTAGGAAAAATGAGGCAACCTGAGGGTGGCCAGGCCCACGGTCTCTTCCTAGGCCCCCAGAGGGCGTCTGGACAGGACTGGCCACTAGGATTTAACAGGTGTTCTGCAATCACCCCTCCCCCACAGCCAGAGAGCACCTTGGGGTGGAGTCTCAGCAGGTGACCCCCTTGCTACCTTGGGCACAGCTCCCTTGTAGCTGGGCCAGCGTTCCCCAGGGAAGCCGACTGAGGCCTTGAGTCTAAACCAAAGGGAACAGCAAGGGGACCAGCCGTGTGGAAGGGCACCCGTGGCCGGGGAGCCTCCAAACATGGCTGTGAGGCACGGGAAGAGACAGGTGGGGAGGACAGAGAGGGCACAAGAGGAGGCCTCGGCCCATCATCCTGGCTGGGACTCTGGTTTTAAGTACTGTTGGTCTGTGACGCACTTAAGTACATGGGAAGAGTGCTCCTGGGACATGAGGGCGACTCTCTGCTTGACCCGTCCTGCCCAGGTCTGGCTTAGAAGAATTCCCACAGACAGGCATCATGGTGGGTGGAAGGAATGCAAGCCCTGAGACCAGGAAGACCTGGGTTCAAATCCTGCACCTACCACACGCCAGTGGGCTAACCAAGACCCTTTCTAAGTCCCAGATTCTTCCTCGGGAAAGTGCAGCTTACCATAGCACTAAACAAGGTTGTTGTAAAAAAAATATTAAAATTATATTGTATTTGATGTACCTAGCATGAAACAAGTAGCTCAGTAAATGGTGATTATTGTCATAACACCTGTCAATACTGTCAGGGTCGGGGTCTGCCATCCAGACTATAAACTGTGTGCACTGTACCCTGGTGTTGTGCAGTGCATGGCACACACAACTATCTGTGGTAGCCCTGCACAGACTTGGCAAAGCAATTAATTTTCCAGGGACTTCAGTGCTACAGGCTACATGGTRGGTTCCATTCACAAGATGGATGTGAATAGCTTTTAAAATGGTTTTCTCTCTTCTAAAGAGATGTGAAGGATTACCTGAACATAGTTGGTTTCTTTGTCACCTAATAAGAAATACCCCCACTGCTCCTTAAGTGACACTAGGGAGGTCAGAAGTGGCAAGGACAGCT